CCTCACCCAATCCAGGGAAGAATTTGGTGTCATTGGCCACTTTCAGATCTGTATTTGTCAGCGAGATCGGCAACTTCGGCAGGGCCACAGCTGAGACACGATCCAAATCATTGGTGGCAGAAAGAATTCGCCATTTCAGTATCATGGGCTGCTTGTCTCCAACTTTGGGGAGAAAAACAAACAAAATAAGACACCTTTTCCCCAATGGAGTCGAAAATGCCACCCCTCCCACACCTGGATTTCTGCCCACATTCCCTAAATAAGAGGGTTTACAAATCAAACATGGACTGTACATTCATTCTACCAGGCCATCTCCCTCATTCTTTGTTAATCTCATTAATTGTACAAATAACAACTTCTACTAAATGTTTTGATGAAAGACTCCGCTGGAACTGATTTAAGAAATCTTTATGTGTAATAATCCTGTGCATTTCACTGGAGTAAACCACGTAGACTTGATTTCATCTCTGATATCAGGTGGTATGGATGTGCACATTGAACAGCCTGATTAAACTATTCACTTGCTGCACAAATGTTTTATATTTAGAAGACTGAGATCACTCTTCTCAGCAGGAAAAGCGGCTGCACAGGAGAACACAAAAAATGTCTTTTATTGAGTGAAAGCAACAATTAAACCATCTCCTTGAGAGCAGCAATTTGTTGCCTAAAATGTAGACAAATAGATGAAAGAGAGCAAAGATGCTCTCAGGGATAAATATGGGATTGGGGATAATCTCATGTATGCGATAAGGGATTTAAGGATCTGTCTTACATTTTTGTTTAGATCTATTTTTAAGAATATGAGGTGCAGAAACTCACCCACAGGAGAGATTTGCTGAAATATGTTATTGACTGGCAGACCCTCTTTCCGGAGAGACCAGCACTCCACGATGCTGTTGTTTTGGTTGGAAGCACAAAGCAACACCTTCAAAAGAGAAACCTGCATTGTACCAGTCTGCACAAATTTTTAATTGGAAAAGGTAGTTCCCAGTAGTGTTTTTCCCACTCTGTTTTGAGGGTCTTTCTCCTAGCTCACGTTCCACTAGTGAAAACCAGAGGACTGTGTCTGCAGTCCCTAATGGCAGCGAGACAGAAAGCAGAGGCAGAACCTCAAACATGGCACCGCAGCCTGGACCTCGTCAAACCACAAGCGCTCCCACCCCTCAGAAACCAGGAATGCGAAGGGCACCGCAGGACATGCTCTGTTGATCTCCAGAGCTGGGCGTGGAAGCCAAAGTGGCGCAAACAGCCACTTCCTTTGCTATGTTTTTAAATCCTGTTTGCTTAAGAGCAGACGCTCACCTGCTCTGACATGTCCCGAGCGAGGAATTTCAGGTGAGTGATTGCCGGGTATTTGTCCTTGCGGGCAGGGTCCGTGGTGCAGCGCATGAAGAGGGAGGGCAGGATCTCGGTGTCTATTTTGCACTTCTCGTTCACGACGCTGACGCACACTTTGTAGAACTGGACCGGGGAGGAGCTGCTGCCGTCCGACGTGGCCACCACGATGTTCCCGCCGCCGGTGAAGGCGACGTCGGCCAAGGCGACGCGGCAGCGGAGGCGGCAGAGGCTCTCTGTGGACGTCAGCACCTGCCCGTTGGGCTTGAGGAGGGAAACGGTCACCAGGCCACTGATGGTCACAGCAATCCAGCCCTCCATGGGCTTCCCGCCAAACAGCGTCAGAGACGGAGAGAATTTGACCCTGGAGAACTTCTCGCCGAAGTTGGATGCTCCAGACTGAGAGAAAAGGCACACAACACAAGCAGGTTTGGTCCCTACCACTGCACAACTCCTCCAAGTCACTGCAGCACAGGCTGGAGAGCTGACAGAGACCGAAATCAGGGCATTAAGTCCTTATGCCCACCTTTGTGCCGGGATCTTGCCCCTTTCCCCCCGGTTTTACAGCAGGAAGGTACCAACCCCTCAGCAAAGCCCGCAGGGCACCCCAGATCTCCCGTGTCCCACATGCAGGCTCAACCTGCCAGTGTCCCCTCTCCCTTCGGTGGCCAGTCCAGCCTCCTGCACAACCTCTTAACCTCCACCTCACGTTCCCCACGGCTACGGAGAGGGAAACGTTCCTCTCCTTTGCTAACGACCGAGCCAGCCTTTCTCCCTGGGCCCGCACACAGAGCTGGGACGAACCTTCTCCACATGCAGAGCCAGCTTCACGCCGTTGTGCAGCCAGGACAGGGCCACGACGGGGTCTCCTTCCACCATGCTGCCCACTGTGTTCTCCCAGCTGTTGGCCAGGTGATCGGCCATGCCCCAGCACTTGATGTGTCCGTCCGCATCCGCCGAGAGCAGCCTGGAGCCTGCAGGGAAACGGCCCCGTAAGAAAAAGCCACTGGGAGCCGGGGAATCCAAACGTTGCGGTGCAGATGCACTGCAGCCACGCAGCTCGTGGCTACGGAGCCCTGGGCACAGCTCCTGACGGCGGAGAAGCAAGACCTGCTCCCCCTTGTCACACACAGCTGCGTGTGCACGAAGAAAGGGGTCGAAAGGAGAAGGGCCCCCAGCTCACCTGACTGATCCCATTCCAAGCAAGTGATGATTTCGGCGTGGCCGGAGTTCACGGAGTAGACGTCCCAGGGATGCTCCGTGTCAATGATGTGCACCATGTGCGTGAGATCTGCGCGGAGAGGCGTGCGGCGCTGCCCTCCTCGCTGACCCTTCTCCGCCCGCAGCCCCCGCGCGGGCACAGGGGCTGCACCAACCGCCTCCCCGCGCGCCCGGTACCTTTCTCCTCCTCGTTTCTGAGGTCCGTGGTGAAGGCGATGAGGTTGCGGCAGGACCAGGCGCACACCAGCGGGATGGAGGGGCAGTGGTTGCTCTTGGGCCTCTTCTCCCACTCGCACACGTAGGCCAGGTCCATGGCGCGGCCGGGCGGCGCGCGCGGCTCCCGGCGCCTGCACCGGGGACACGCGGCGTCGGGGGCCGGCCCAGACCCCCCCCAGCCCCAGCGGGGACCCCCCGGCTGCTCGCGGGGGCCCAGGGCTCCAGCCCCCTCCAGGGGTGATGGGGGGGTAGTTCTGCGGGGAGAACTGCCCCCGTTGGGGGATAACGGGGGGATTTGCCCCCCTAGGGATGGGGGGGGGCTCAGGCCGGTCCCTGCCCCCTCACGGGACCTGCCCCTCCGCCCCGGCTGAGGGAGGGCGGTTGTGCCCCCACCCGCTGCGGGCAGCGGCCGCAGAGGGAACGGCCCCACACGGGGAGGGGGATTTGCCCCCCCCGGGGCCGAGGAAAGGGAATTTGCCCCCCCACGGGCTGAGGAAACGGGGTTTGCTCCCCGCGGGCAGGGAGGGGCCCCAGGGCGCCCCGCGGAGGGGGAACCGCCCTGGGGGGGGTGGAGCGCCCCCGCTCACCGGCCGCGGCCCCGCGCCGCCTCCCGCCGCGCCGCCAGGACCCCGCCCGCCCCGCCGGGCTGCCCCGCCGCGCGCCTGTGCGGAGCCCCCCGCCCTGCGCAGCGCGGGACGCCCAGGCACCGCAATGGACAGCCCTGCAGTGAGGCCCCCGTCTGCGGCCGGCGGGGGAAGAGGGGCGGTGCAGGCTCTAATCTGCATAGAGTCCTACCCAGAACCCACCAGCGCTGCGGAAGGAAGAGAAAACTGCGGTTTTGGAAGATTTTAAGAAAAATAAAAAAGAAATGCATTCAAAATGGAGAAGAAATTCAAAAGTGAATGAAATCTATTTAATAGCAGAAGAGGGACAGTCACCCTATCGTTAGAATCTCCGTCTTTCAGAGCTATAAATACCGCTCCGGGGCAGGGAGCAGCCGTGCTCGCTTCGGCAGCACATATACTAAAATTGGAACGATACAGAGAAGATTAGCATGGCCCCTGCGCAAGGATGACACGCAAATTCGTGAAGCGTTCCATATCTTTTCCTTCCCTCCCCCTTGGCACCAGGCAGAGAGGTGCCCCCCCCCCAAGCCCGGGAACCCCTTTTTTTCCAGGACCGGGCCCCTCTCTGCCCCCCCGTCCCCCCACAGCAGGACAGGACAGCAGGAGCACTGGGGAGCACCACTGTTTATTGATTCTGCACCAACACCCCCCACCTCCCTCCCCCGTTTCCTATCACACACAACAGACAAGAGGAGCGAGGAGGGTCCGGCCTTCACCCCCCAGCCCTGCACAGCCCACGGCTGCAGGGCCTGCACAGCCCCCTACTCGGGGCTGCACAGGGGGCTGGATGCAGCCCCAAAGAGCCCTTGACACACGGACAAGCACCAACAAGCAGGACACGCAACACTCCGGGCGCTGCAGCAGCTCCCAGCACACACACATATAAAAGACACTATATTACATTTAAAAACAGCCCCTTGCCTCCCTGGTAAGAGGCAGGTCTGCATGCCAGCTCTCGCTGCAGTATTGGGGCTCTAGGGAAGGGCACGTTCCACCCCAAGGCAGGAATCTCTTCCCTGTCCCTATCCACCCAGGTCCAAGTATCCTTGGATCACTCCAAGCTTCAGTCTTGGACCTGAACCCAGAGCGGAGGCAGCTCCCTTCTCCCCAAGCTGCTTCCAGCACCTCTGGGAAGAGCGGGGCAGGAGCTGAGCGTTGCCAAAAGCCCCGTTGCCGGTGTGGAGGAGCTGGAGCTGGAGCAAAGCACCATCCCCGCCAGGCAGGTGACCGGGCAGAGGCTCCCGCGCTCGCTCAGGGCTCGCTCTGCCACACGAGAGCCGAGGAAGCGCAGGCAGCTGCGAGCAGCTATTTCATACCAGAAATACCTGGGCCAAAAATCACCCCGGAAGCATCACAGAGCCCGAGGGGATTCTGGTCCAAGCAGCTTGTTTTTTAAAGCACCTGGTCTATAAATAGCCACGCAAACACTTCCAGGCAGGAGCAGCACAGCCGGGAAGCAGGGTGAGCGGAGCAGATAGGCACCTGCTGGGCCCGCGCGCCCTGAGCACGGCCCTATCTCGCTGCACCACTCAGCCTGGAGCCCCTCCAACAGATGAAGAGCAGGGAGCACTAGCCCAAGGGAAAAATAAAAATAATTAAAAAAGAAAAAAAGCAGGCAATCTGGCCTCTGCAGAAAGCGTGCCAGCAGTCAGTTTGGTACTGCCAGACCAGCACAGCAAGACGAGCAGTTCTTGCCCCCTTTCCACCCCTCAGCTGCACAGGATTCCAGGTATCCCTGAGGGATCAGGGCACTGTTCCTTGGAGCAGGCCTGGGGCCTCGTCAGGACGGAGGGCACGACTGCCAGGCCCACACTGTGCACCCCACGCAGGGCTGCGGTCCCGAGCTCCCGCTCCGAGGGGCGGGAAGGGGAGAGCCCCGCGCGGGGCGGCGGGAGCGGATCCGTGCGCTGTGCTGTGCAGCAGGTCAGGCTCGTCGGGCAGCAGGGACCAAGCGACTGGGAGAGACCAGGAGCCGGGAACGAAGCCTCCAGCGCACGAAGCAAGCGGCCGGGCAGCCGGCAGCTATCAGCTCATCTGCTCCAGGTAGTCCGAGAGCAGGAGCTCGGGGCGCAGGAAGACGCGGTGCTTGTTGCTCACTTTCATCTGGCGTTTCCCTTCAATGTCCGAACCTGGGGGAAAGCAAAGTGAGCAGCCCCTGCCCCTCAGCCCCCCGGGGACATCCCCGACGGCTGCAGGAGCCTGGCCCAGGCTGCGACCACCCTGCGAACATCGCGCCCCGCAGCACCCGCGCGGCCGAGGCTCCCGCAGGAGCAGGAAAATGGGGTTATCTGTGCGGCACAGAGGAAGGTGGGGCTGGGAGGAGGAAGGGAGGAAGAGGCCGAGCTGGAGCCAAGAGATAGCGCTGCAGAAGAGGAAAGCACAAACAGGAGGCTCTTACTGGCCGAGGCGAGGTCCATGTACTGGCAGAGCGCGTGGAGCAGGAGTCGCTCGAAGCTGCGGGGAGAAGGGGAATGGGAAGGTCAGAGCTGGCAGGTCTCACACCAGCATCTCCCCCTGCACCGTCCTGCCCAGCTCCTCCCAGCAAACCCGAGGACTGGGCACAGGGAGCACAAAGGAGACTGCGCAAATACCTGTTGTCCATGAGTGCTGTGTAGACCGAGTGCGGGGTGACGGAGAAAAAGGCCAGCAGCTCCTCCTCCAGGCACTCGAGGGTCCCCTGGAAGGGGAAGCAGAGCCCATGGGCATGGGGAGCACATGCAGCAATGGACAGGAGCTGGAGAGCAAAGGCTCCTTCCCCACGTCCAAAGCAGCACCTCGTGGGGAACAACACGGTTCTGTGCGCACACGGCTCTGTGCCCCTCACACACGTGGATTTTGCCCACGAGGAGTTGCAGGGGGCTGGATAGAGCCCAGGGTAGCCCGACCACCACCACCTCCCCGTGCTGCATTCACCGGCCCCAGCACGGCGAGGAAGGGCCCGGCTCCCGCCAGCGCCCGGCTCCGTGCGCCAAGCGCTGCCTCCCTGGGCACGGCAGCAGCCCCAAGGGCCCCGCGCCCCCCAGCTCCTTCCCTCCTGGCAGCCCTGAGCGCCGCTCCAGGAGCCCAGGGACGAGCGGCAGTGCAGGGCTCTTTGGGGAACAACCTGAGCAGAAGGCAACAGGCAGCAGAGCCGAGGCGGCTTTCAGAGACAGGGCTCCAATTAGAGCAAGGAAAACAAACAGGGCAGGAAAAGAGCCCCGTTGAGAAGCGAACACCAGGCAGCAGGGCCCAGGGAAACAAGTGTGTACAGAGCTGGGCTCCCGCACGGGGCGGCACGAGGCCAGGCCCCTCTTCCAGCTTGGATTGACCCCTCTCCAATTGCACTTGGACTCTTCCCAATATCCTCACTGGGCATCTCCAAAGAGCCCAAAGCTCCCTTGTTGCCCCGCTTGGGGAAGGGGCTTCATTTCCCACTACCAGCTGCTCGTGGAGCACAGACTGGGAAGCCACCAGGTGAAAACTCCCAGGGAATGCAGAGACCCGTCACGCTCCCAAGCACTCAGCCCAATGCTCCTCCTGACTCAGTGCCCAGGGCCAGGGCACAGGCAGGAAGACGCGGCCCCGTGAAGCTGCCCGCTCCGTCGCCCCATCTCACCATGGGGATCCGGCCCCGCTTCAGGGTGGCGCGAAGACGGCGGCTGATGCGCTGGAAACACTCCCTGGGGGTGTAGGCCGGGTGCTCTGGAGCCCGGGGACAGAAAAGCAGGGATGCGGATGGGACACATGCAAACGCATGGGGAGGAAAGGGAAGGGTCTCCAGGGCAGCCTCCCCACCCCGCACCTTTCCATTTGTCTTCGTTCTTCACGGGCAGCTTCCCTCTGTGTTTCTTCCTGGCCTCCTCCTCCAGGTAGAGCAGGACTCTCTCCTGCTCCTCTCCAGAGCGGTTCATGAAGTCGTTCCAGATCTGCCAACAGAGGCACCAAACCCCTGCAGAGGCTCCTGCCGGGAGCACCCGGCTGCACAGCCCGCCAGGCACCCTGCCCCAGTCCTCGCCAGCCTCCTCTTCGCCCATGAGCCCCCGGCAGCCATCCCTGCAGCGCGGGGTGCACAGAGCGCTCCGGGCAGAGCTCTGCAGCTCCGACACCGCACAGGGCGGCGCAGAGGCACAGCAGGCTGACAGCAGCCACGGCAATGGGGATCCTCCTCCTGCCTCTTCATGGCCTCCCCGCACGGAGCAGCTCGGAGCAGCTGCTTTGGAAGGAGAGGCGTGTTTAGCGCTTGGAAGCAGCAATGGGTGCCGAGAGCCCACGACAGTCTGGCCTCAAACACAGCTCTGCGCTGGGCTGCTGCTCCGAACAGGAGCTCCGTGCAGAGCCCACAGAGCCCCGCAGAGCAAAACACCCGGACAGCAAACCCAGCAAAGGCACCAAAGTTTCAAAACACCGGGTTGCAGAGCACATATTGCAGCAACAGCAGAGCAGCATGAAGCAACAGAGGGGCTCAGCAATGGGCCTGCGCTAAGGGAAGCGCTGCAGCCCGCACGGGTCGGGCTCTGCGCATGATCACGAACACGCATGGGGCTGCAGGCAGACACCCCATCCCACCTCCACGTAGCTCTCGTTGTTGCAGGCCTCGCTGAAGATGCTCGGAGCTGCTGAGCGCTCAAGCTCCCCCTCCTCGTTCCCACATTCGTCTCGCTCCAGAAGCGTCATGAGATACCGAGCTAGGAGAGAAAAGCAAAGCCCCCGCGTTAGCCAGGGGGACCTGGCACCTTCGGAAGGCCCCGCATCTCCAGCCTCACTATTTGCTCCACGGGGCAAAGCGGGAGTATTCAGGGCAGGGTCCCCCTGCCCGGCACCGCCAAGGGGGCTCCCAGCCCGCCCATCCTTACTGTTCTCCAGCCTCTGGAGGCTCTTGCGCCCCTTGGCCTTGGGGATGAGGTCCGAGTTGCGGATGGCCTTGTTGATGTAGTACTGCTTGCGCTTGGCTGGGGAGAACCTCTTAGCCGGGGAGTCCTCCAGGGGCGGCAGGCAGTCCTCGATCCTCCTGCGGAGGCAGGACGGGAGGCCTGAGCGCCCCGACGGCGCCGCGGTGCCGCCGGCACCCGCTCCTGCTGCGGGCAGCTGGTGCGACGAGAGCCGCCGCATCGGCCACGTAATTAACTCCACCAGCACGGGAGGCGAAATAACGACGCTCGATCCGCTGAGCGGGAACTCGGGAGCTGCTCCGAGAGGAGCAGGAACCCGTGCGCACGCAGCGGGGAGCGTTCCCAGGCTGGGAATGCGCCTCCCGGCCGCACTTCTCCGAGTCCCGCCGGGAAGCACCAACGCCCGGCCTGGCACCGGCCCCCAGAGCGGTTTGCGAAGGGCAGGTACCGTTTCCATCAGATAAACCAGGGCGTTAACAGCCGGCCTCGCTGGCAGCCGTCCCCGCAGCAGCGGATCTTCCCTGTGGACTTCCCCGGTGACTCTTCCTCATCGCCCTCTTCCCTCCTCCCCTGCGTGGGGACATTCACCCAACCTTTGCTGGGCGAAAGCTACAGCCCCCGGGCTGCACCACGCAGCACGGGGCACCCACGGCGTCCTGGCTTCCATCCACAGTGATTTATTACATACACACTTTAGAGAAGCCACAACTCAGCTGGTTTCTGTCCAAAACCGATCGGTGAGAAGCTCGCTGCTCATTGAACACAACCGTCCGATCCTCAAAGCCGAGCCCCGTCCCGCTGCGTGCCCAGGCCTGCAAGGGCCACCAGCCTGTGAGAGCGGGGGCACAGCTGTCCCCAACATCCACAGCAGGGACACACTGCAGCGAGCCACAGGCACGGGAGCCAGCCTCTGTTTTGCTGCTTCCCCTGCACGGGGCAGCACCCGGGCCGCTAAGCTGGGGAGAAAAACGTCAAAGCGGGACAGGGAGCATCACCACAGTGGGCGCGTGGGGGACGGGGCTGCTCCTGCGCTTTGGAGCAAGGGGACTTCGCACCCAGCGCCGACCCACGCGGAGCCCGAAGGGGAAGGGGACCCGCTGGGAGCAAAGCGCAGCTGGGGACTGCGGCTGCCCTGGTGTCACAGCGGCTCTGCCCATCTCACTGCCCGTCTCCAGCCCCCCGGCCATTGTGGGGGCACCCGCGCGGGCGCCCACGGCTCCTGGCCCCCATCCCGGCCACGCTCAGTGTCCCCAATGTCCCCCGTGACTCAACGGGCACTGGGGCCCCGCGCTCCTCACCCCCGACCTCGGGTGCACGAGTTGCAATTAGCGCAATTAGCACAATTAGCGCGCTGAGCTCATCAGCACCGCTCGCGGGCCGGGCTGCCCCGCCGGGCTCCTTCCTGCTCCGCGGGGACAAAGTTCGGCCCCGGTTCCCCTGGGGAGCCGAGGGCGGGCCGAGCCCCCGGGACGGGACGGGACGGGCGCCCCGCGGGGCTCGGCACCCCCCGGCGGGGGCAGCGGCCGCCGAGACCCGCAGAGCGGGCACGCGCGGGGCCGCCCCCCTGGTGCCAGCCCCGCGGAACCCCCCGAGGCCGGTGCCAGCCCCGCGTTCCCGCCGGTGCCGCCGCCGCGCCCGCCCCCCGGCCCCGCTCACCGCGGGGGCTCCTCGCGGGCCCCGCCGCGCCCCGCGCCGCCCGGCAGCACCACCATGGCCGCGCCCGCCCCGTCCCGCGACGCCCTTAAAGGGGCCGCGCGCCGCCACTGCGCCGTCCGCCCCGGACGTGGCGCCACGGGGGCGGGGCCGGGGGCGGGGACAGAGCAGGCACCGCCCAGGCACCGCCCACCCGGGTGCCGCGGGCGGCGGGAGCGAGCTGGGAGCACTGGGATAAGATGTTGGGAGAACGTGAAGTTCAACAGGGGCAGGTGCAGGGTCCTGCACTGGGGAGGAGTAACCCCGGACACCAGCACAGATTAGGGGTGGACCTGCTGGAGAGCAGCCCCGCAGAGAGGGACCTGGCCGTCGTGGTGGACGACACGATGACTATGAGGCAGCAGTGTGTCCTGGTGGGATGCTGGGGTGCATTAAGAAGAGCGTCTCCAGCAGGTCGAGGGAGGGGATCGTCCCCCTACACACCGCCCTGGGGAGGCCACATCTGGAGACTGTGTCTGGTTCTGGGCTGCCCAGTTCAAGAGGGATGTGGAGCTGCTGGAGAGAGTCCAGCGCAGGGCTACGAGGATGATCAGGGGCCTGGAACATCTGCCCTGTGAGCAAAGGCTGAGGGAGCTGGGTCTGTTCAGCCTGGAGAAGAGGAGGCTGAGGGGGGACCTGCTCAGTGTCTATAGATACCTCAAGGGAGGCAGTGAGGAGGAGGGGGCGGCCTCTTTTCAGTGGTGGCCAGCGACAGGACTAGAGGAAACGGCCACAAGCTGAGGCACCAAAAGTTCCACAGGAAT